GCCGAGCCCAGGCCTGCAAAAAATTTATTTCAGGTCAATGTCTGATCCATAGTTAATAGTAAAAAAATTCCCAAGCGTCCAAGCTGATAATAATTTTGAAAAATTTTTTCCATGCCCAGCCCAATAAAATTTATAAAAATATTTTCCAAACCCAGCCCGACCCACTAATGTTAAAATCCTCAAACCTGGCCAACCCATAATAATTTTATATTTTTTTTCCCAAGCCTGGAGATAGGTAAATCTCTAAAAACATTATTTTTAATCCCACTCACTACTTCAGATCAATGCCAACCCATTAAGGCTAAAAGTGAATATTATTTTTGAGTAAAAATATATTTAAATTAGCTTTTACCTGAGATCATATTCTGTGTTAAATATTATGCCTAATATCTAATATTAAAAATTCCCAAGCCAGGTCCATGCACATAATAATGTTGGGAAAATTTTCTCAAGCCCGCCAACCACCATAATAATTTTGGTAGTTGAGAACTGAAATAAAATATATAAAAGTCATAATTCATAAAAATACAAGAATATGAAAGTTGCATGGGCCTTGGTTGATCAGGCCTGGCCATGTCTGCAAAAAAAATTTTCAGGCCAATGTCTAACCCATTTAAAATCAAAAAATTTTCAAGCATATCTATTTTAAATTTTACCCAATATGATTTCTATCACAAATTTAAATTTTATTCTAAATATAAAATTAATTTAAGACATAGTTATTAAATATAGAAATAAATGGCAAAATTTTATAAAGGTTGCATGAGACTTGGTTTTTTGTTTAGGCTTGGCTATGTCTGCAAAAAAAAATTTTTCAGGCCAATGTCTAGCCCATATTTACAATTAATTTTTTTTAACTCGATATGATTTCTATCACAAATTTAAATTTTATTCTAAATATAAAATTAAATTTTAGACATTGTTATTAAATTACAATAGAAATAAATGACAAAATTTCAAAAATATCAGCTATGCTAACAGCAATTGAGTTGATTAATATAAAATTAATATTTTAAATGTAATTATAATTCAAGTTGGTGCATGCTTAAAGCGTGTACTTTTGAAACGTGAGGTTTGTGGTTCGATGGTGGTAGATGGCAAAAAATTAACATTACACTATATAGTCTCCTTAATTTTAACAACGTTAAGATCATACGAAAACGATCATATTTGGATTATGGAGATTATATATAGGATATGTAAATATTATAAACGCATAAAAACATCATTTAAAGGGGTTGGTTTATTCTAGAGGATATTCCCGTCTATGTAAACGACTAGAATTTATTATTATAACGGAATTTAAGCGACTTAGTTATCATGATTCAAGTTGTATAGACCTCTATGATCATATCGTATTTTCTAGTATTTATAAAAATTAGGAATGTTATTTGTGGAAATGTAAATTTGTATATTCGGTACTTAAAATTTTTTTTTGGAGGAAGAGGATACCTTAATAATCATGATATTATTATATTAAAAAACATGACCATTCCTACTTCTAATGCTTTATTATAATAGAGGGCATTGTTTAATAATACAATAGAATCCATTTTCATTACTCATCACTATATATCAGAGACCTATAGAAATCCAATTTTAAGACCCAGAATTAAAGAAAATCCACATTTTTTTTGCCCTGATTTTTATTTTTAGCCTCTTATATTTTAGAAATATTGGAAGCGAAAAATTCTTAGATTAATCATATGATTTTCTAACTCGTTAAATGATGATTTAAATTTGTTTTTAAAAATTGGTCTGACCCATCTTTGTAATATATTTTTAGGCCTAGCCTAGAATTTGGAATTCATTCAATACAGGTTCTGCAGGAATTATATATCAACTCCCAATTTTGATTGCTCCTTATAAATTATGAAAGTCTTCATGAGATTATTTGTATTTTATTTTGTAAATATCGAAAACATGTAAAACACTTTCATTTATTATCGTTATCAATGTTCTAAACAAATTCTATTTTTTTCAAAATTTGTAAAAAAAAGAAAATCCATAATGTAAAAAATAGGGATCAAAATCGAACCTCAAACATTAAATCGGCATTAACCGATATTGTTTACAAAACCTAACCGGTACCTAAACTGCTAAAATATTTGTACCAGAATATCTAAAAAGGCTGTTTACCGGTTTGTATATTTTCTCCGATTCGGCAATAAATAGTAGACTCAAAATCTAGATATAATTCCCAAAATTTATAAGTTTAACAATAATAGAAAGATTTTATAATTTATTTGAACCATTCTATCTTGTAAATTAGACTGGGTTATAATAAAAAATTTTTAAATATATTGCCTAAATTCTTACTAAAAATATATATAATATTTTCATAATTTAAGAATAATCATGGACATTATTCCGCAATGTCCATGAATTTATGCGTGGAGCATTTTATTTCCCTAAACATTTGATCCAGGACACTTTGCTCGTTCCACGGAATCATGGAATTTTTTCTTACATCTGATAGATTTTTGATTTCTTTTAAAGATTTTTACCAATAGATCATATAATTCTTAAAATTGATAATATTCTAATAAATTGAGTTCTTAAAATTGATAATATTTAAATTAATTGAGTTCTTAAAATTGATAATATTCTAATTAATTGGGTGGCAACGTAGTATATAAATATCATTTTCCAACAGATGATTTGATTATTACCTTTAATTGCTTCTTTCTATAACCTTTGTTTTAATCGATAACGCGAGGGAGAGGGGGAAATCACGGATTGACTCTAGTAACATAAATAAATGGATGAATTTATTAGAACCATTTGTTATTTTGAAATTGATATTTTGTCTTTATTTTTTGCCTTTATTTTTTGCCATCTAGAATGGTATTTGACCCCATCTTTTTGTAAAGATAATTTTAATTTTACAGAGATCTTTAGAGGTCAAACTAACCCGCCCGCCGTATTTGATTTTTTTTGCACAGCTTGGTTTTGAAATTTTTAAACCCCGCTTAGACCACGATTTTTGAAAGTGGTCATTTGTATTTATAGATTATTTCAAAAAGGAAATCATGAGCAGTAAATAGATATTAAATGGTACATTATGTTTCCAAATGGCTAATTATTCGAATTTATTTCGAAAAAATCGGTTCAGTCTTTTTTTGTAAAAAATATTTGTAGGCTCAAACCGAACTGCCTTTGCAATTTTTTATTAATCAGGACCTGCTAGTTTCCGATTTTTTTCATAAACAAATAATTCTTATAGATTTTGTTACAATGTGTATTAAATAATTTAATTCTGAGTGATTTTAGTATTTTTTATTCGCTTCGATCATATCCACTTCATTCATTTAATAAAAGTTAAAGACACCAAATTGCCTGTCAAATTGTTCTTTTTGAATTATAAAAATCATTTAGGCTGCATTCAAAGTGGAGACGGATCCGTTTTTACATCCGTTCCGTCAAAAGTCAATCTCATTAAAAATGATATATATATATATTGATTTTCATTTTTAAAAAATTATAAGTAACGTTATAACGCTTTATATAATTTGCCGCATCAAAAAGTCAAAATGTTTTGACTTCAAAATTTGCCGGATCCGTTTTAAGACGGAAGGTATCGGAACGGACGCACTTTGAACAAATATATCATTTTTAATGAGATTGACTTTCTGAACGGATGTAAAAAACGGATCCGTCTCCACTTTGAATGCAGCCTTACCCTCTCTTTCAAATATATTCATAATTTTGAATCTTTTTTTTTATTTCGTAAATTTATTTTCTTTTCAATTATATTTTTATATATAATATAATGTAGTTTTATAATTTTGTATTTTTGAAATTAAGTTTCTATTAATATTTCTCCTTTATATATAATTTAAAAAAAAAATTAAATCTCAAAGACATTTAATATAATTTAGAAAGCCTCCTTCCAATTTTATAATTTTCGTTTTTGCAAAGAAATGCAGCCACCTTCCAATATCTTTTTTTAAAAATCCTATATTTTCTAAGTTAATATGCGTGCGAGTTAGATTCGAATAAGTAAAGTGTTTTTGCAATAAGAGTTAATAAAATTTTAAATTTAATGTCTTCCCAAATAAACGGGAGAGGGAGTAAGGGGGGGGGGGTATTTTATTCATTATATCTATTAGCTGGATGGTAGGGGTAGGCTCAAAGAGTGTAAAAATTGTTCAAGGTTAGATAACGACATGTTGTCTTTAAATTCATTTCTCAAGAAGACTTTAAAACTAAATAAAACCTTTTTTAAAATTGTGGAGGAAATTTTATGTTTAGAGCCCTTGCATTTCTTTTTTTTCAGGCATAGTGTCGTTAAATGGCTCGATTTTAGTCGATTTTTTAAAACGGACCGATACGAAAATATGTTGTTGAATTTTTGTTTGACTGGATCCAAGAATTTTTCTGGTTATTCTTGAAAATGAACAAATATTAGGAAAATAAATAAATTTTGTTGAGGTGCCTGAGTTAGGTTCGATCTGAGAAATTTAACAAGAAAATATCTCTCCGAGTCTCCGATTGGACTTGCATCAGTGCATGCAAGGCTTTTCTATTATGTTGTAAAATATACTCCCATAAATAAATATGGGTGTTGAAACTGACAACCTTAATTTCTCTACTTACTCATTAATACAAAAGTCCTAATGTTTATAAAACTAAGCACACTATTCTCCTTACTTATAACCTTTGATTAAGAAATGTATACTAACGTATAAATAATATTTTTATAATCTTGATAAAATACATAGTTAAAAAAACAATTTAAAATTATACATACCTTACCTATTATAAACTATCATGATCTTATTACCTATCACATTTTTCTATTTAGAACAAACTTATTATTTACTAATTAAATTTAAATGTAAAAAAATGAGCACTTTAATTACTAAGAATTTAACTGATTTAAAAATAAAAATATTTTATTATTTTATTTTAATATAAAATGTTATTTAACGTAGAGAAGGTTAGTTTGGGTCCATACGATTTTATTACAAATAAATAAACAAATGATAAAATATAATAAATAATTTTAATATTATTTTTTTATAATATAAGCCTGAATATTCATATGAGAATATGAAGAAAGATATGCAAACTATGAGCATGGGAAAATGTTTCTTATTCGAATCTTAGACTTATATTTATTTAAATCTATATGTATTCATAATTATTACACAGGTTTTACATTGATTATAACATATTTATATATTTATTACTTTATTTAATAAAATTTTTGAATTTTGACATTTAAATTAGATTAAGTTTTGGATACTATAATTTTATTGTTTTTTAGTAATTAATTTGGGTTATTTAATAGCTATTGCTATATAGTTCTTATAAATGCATACACTATAATTACCATGAACCTAAATTATATTATTTATATATAAAAGAAGTGACTGACTTCAAACTGAAGCTTTAATATTATTTGTATATCTATCTAAACCATTCTCAATCTACTTGATTTTAGAATTATATGGCAGTCAATTTTTTATAAGTCAATTATATAATATATTTATGGGGAATAATATGATATAAATTAAATCTTTTTATACACTTGCATTTTAAAAACTATTATGTATTTTTGTCTATTTTTCTTTATTCATAATTATCGGTTGATTGGAAAAAGGTAGCAAAGTACAACAACAAAAATTAACAAGATAATTGTATTTTTTTACAAAATACAAGTTAGAGATCAGCATAGCCCAAGGATAAAAGCTAAAAAACCTTTCTGTCAAATTGGCAAACTTATGTAGAATTTTTGTTGTGCTAATCAGAAATTTTTTGCAAAATATTTTTTCACACTGGGTTGGCTGGAAAATTTTAAAATTTATCATCTCTCCGTTATAAAAAATAATTATACGGTGGGCCGGGAAAATTCTTTTAAATATTTTTTAGACTGGGATATAGAGGTAAACATGGGCTCACCAGACCTCAAAATTTTGTTTTTACATATGTTTTGGCTGGGCTGACCTCGTTGAGAAATTTTTTTTAAGAAAATCTTCACAAACCAGACATGGTCATTGCTATTAATTTATAAGAAAATACAATTTTTATTTTTACAACAAATATTAATTTATAATTGACATTTTTTGGTAAATATTAACATTTTCCCACCTACCAACAATACCAATGTTTTCCCCCACATGTTAAAATGCCCTAATCCCTCCTCCACTTGCTTAAATACCCTATTTTTCCTCCACTTGTTACTTTAGCATATAAATCCCAAATTATAAATATATTTAATAGCCATAATATATCCAAACAAAAATCGATTTTTCCTTTCACATATTTCATTAATAACAAAATTTTACCAAAAATAATATAATAACTTTTCTGCTCCCTCTGATTCAAACAGTAATATTTTTTTAAAAAAATTTTGTATTTCAAAAAAAAACATTAAATTTTTTTGCCTTATCTCCCTCTTCTTTTTTTACAATTTTTTTTCTTTTATATTATATCCTTTTTTTGTTTAGCGGTTTGCTTCTTTTTTTCCATAAAAATATCGAAAATTTCCTTTGTAGAAATTTTTTTAACGTCCGACTTTGGTAAAAAAAAATTTTTATACTATATTATAGATATATTAGTAGATTTTCATTTTTATGCTATATTTTATATATTATCATTTTATATTATATTTAATCATTCATTCATTATATTTATTTATTGGCAAAAAAACAAACAAATGAAAACAAGAAAACCAACACGTAAAAAATTTAAAATGTTTTGATAAATCCTTTTTGCTGCATTTATAATATGAAAAAAAGTTATATTTCTTAATTACATTTGGTTCAAGAAGGGTGGTAAAAAATCAGTATAAATATCGGTATCGGATCGGGTTTAAACCAATATCGGACAGGATCGGTGAAAATAAGTGGATCGGCACAGTCCTAATTATTGTTATCACTTTTTACCTTTCAGACCTTTTTCTCTAGTTCTACTAATTAAATTCATAAAATCGGTATGGAGTTTTAATAAATAAAAAATAATAATTTTAGAATAATTTAATGCCTGATTAGCAAATGATATTTCTTCAGGCATCCTGTGAAAGTTAAAATATAAACTAATAAGGATATTAAATTTTTGATAAATTCCGAATGTCATCGAATATGGGAATAATTTAAGAGATACTTTTGGCCCAGTAGGATGCAAAAGATTTATTTTTGCCTCTTGAATTGTTTTTCAACAATTACGAAACTTAACTGCCATTTATTATCATATGCGCATATGACTTATCCACGAATAGCATCATATGGTATGATCACATTTGAAATTGATATCATATTTATCAACACGTGAATATGAATTTGTTTTTTTACTATCTTGATTGATTGAATAACAAATATAGATTTTTTGAGTCCCAGATATGGCCCATGCAATAATAAATCGTCCCCTAAGACAATTACATCATAATTTTCATTTACGAAGTATTCAAAATTTTTTTGTTATAATAGAAAGTCATATGAGAAAATAGGATAATTTGGTTTTTGAAGGCTAGCTCTTCTTGCTAATCTTTTCACTGTAACTCCAATCCCATCGTTGCCGTCTTCCCATGAGCTGCTTTAAAAATTGGACTCAAATCAGATCACTAATTTTCTTAATGTTTTATATAATAAAAATGTTTTAAAAAATTGATTTTATATAGAAATTTAAAGCGCTATCTATATTTTTGGGTAGCATTATTGACGATGTTTATATAAATCCATTTCTTTATGAATTTTATTGCATCAAATTATTTTTAAGTAAACGAGTTATAGAAATTTTTTTTTCAAAAGAATTGAAGTGCAACATGTCTCCTTAAAAACAATTTAAAATTTTCAACTGTTTTCTAGATGGCTATCTTTAAAAATTATCCAATTTTTTCCGTTATCTTAATTAATCGTCATTTATTCAATTGAAAATGATATTTCGTTTACAAATTTATTAAGTTTTTTAATATATATATATATATATATATAAAATAATGTGACAACAAGAAAAGTAGAAATAAATCTTTTTTTTATTTCCATGGAGATGCGTTTGCACTTTACTCCTATTATCTCAGAAAATATTAAAGCTGAAGGGCGAAAATTTTGTTTTTGGCATAACATGTAACCATCATCATTTTTTTTAAAATTAAAATCTAAAAGTGAGCTCAAAGTCCTTATAAATTCATTTTACATGGTACCCTAGTTATTTTTGCATTAAATGTCCAGTATATAATCGATCCTAAATTGTTATAAATTTTATTTATTACTTGGGAAAACTTTTTTAAAAAGATGTTAAACAACTATAGGTGTTCAGAGAAGATTAGTGTTGTTAAAACGGTAAACTCAGTTTTTTATCTATAAAAATATTACGCAAGCCTGAAAATTTTGCTAATAGAAGGAGCAAAGACCTAGACATATAGTATCGAAATTTCGAAGCTTAGTCAATATTTTTCTGGCGAAAATATTGAGTTAGCCGTTTTTAAAAATCGGCTCAAAACGAGCCGTTTAACAACATTAGAGAAGATTACTGACTTAGTCTTTTGGGGAAGTAGCTTCCGGTCTGGACCTGGCTCGACTCGCTCGGATTATAATTATATTGACCTAACAATATATTTTCTTCGCCAAATACTAAGCCGAATTGAATATATATGAGAATAATTCGGACCAGACTAATATTTCTTATATCCTACAGACCACGGGCAGGCCGGACTTGAAAGGCTCTAGTATCGATATAATTTTTTTTAAAGTGATCCAGTTTTACCGATACAAAGTTGATATCGATATGTTTATATTAATCCCTTTACAAAAATAATTTAAATTCAGAAAACATCAATCATTTATATCCTAAAAACCACATGAAACTCCACAAACCTCATCCTTATTATGCCTTCCCCTGATGCAATCTCATTTTCACCAAAATTTGATATATCAAAATCAGAAGAAAATACAAATTCATTTTGAATCGGATCAACAATTTTTTACAAGTTCGAATTTTTTTCCTCCTATACCTGGCAGGAAAGCGGACATTTTTTGTACAGATAGGACGACATCTTTAGTAGCTTCACAAGGAAACTCCCATTCCAACCAGGACAGGAAAATGGGTATTATTTTAAGTTTTGATCATATTACTTATAGGGTCTAGATTTGTGTTTTGAGGAGATTGATGTAAATTTTTTCAAAGAATATAATGATATTATTAAATCAAGATTAATTTTATTTTATGAAATATGAAAAACCTGATATAATTAGAGCACGTTAGCTTAATTTTTAAATTACCTACCTTGGCGCTGAAGTATTTATTTATAACTATTATAGCCAGTTCCGGTTCTAACATGCCCACTGATGACCTGATGGAAATGGCTCGTTCCCAGCTCCTTTCCCTCACCAATCATATCCAATACCAGCAAAGCCAGATCTCTCCTCAAACAAATACGGATTGCACCCGTTACCCGAACCCTATCAACAATTCTCTCCTTAATCCAGAAAATTCCTCGAATAATATTGACTCAGCCTTCCCAAATGAATCTGATAGGATAAGCTTAGAGGCCCTCAAATGGGCCAAAGGACTGGACAACCTGCTTAGAGACGAAGAAGGCGTCAGGTCTTTTACCAGGTACCTCAGACAAGAGGGAATATCGGATTATTCACTCATGTTTGTTTTCGCTTGCAGGGGACTCAAAAAACGTAATAACTCGATTCCTAGTGGCGCCATATTATTACAAAATTCTAGTATTAATAATCACAATGAATCTTGCAACGAAAATAATTGCGAAAATAATCCCGTGACAACTGTTGCTACCAATAGCAGTGGTAATCAGTCGGAATTAAATTTACTCAGAAGAAGGGTCAAGGCTATTTATAGGAGCTTTTTGAGATCATCTGCCCCAGGTTATAAGTTAAAAGATTGTTAGAATTATTTGGAAGAGTGAGTATAGCATGTTATTTTATCGAATAATTTAGTACTTATCATTTTCTTAATATAATTTGCCTATTAAATTTTAATAAATATATTAGAAAGGAGATACTGGCTAAAGCCATAATTATTCTTTAACTTAAAATTTTAAATTATGATAAAATATTTTCTCTTGATTCTAAGAAATTTTTATAATAATACTATCCATCTATGTATTTTCTTGTTATATGTATCTCCAATTAATTTATCTTTCAATCAGGTATCGACAAAGACCTTTTACCCATAACCTCTGATTGTCGAAAACATATCAGAGACAAAATCAATCGCCACTTCTACGTCAGCAATAACGGTACCAATAACCAAAATTCTTCTAAAATCAATAATAGCCTAGGTGATCATAATCAGCCTCCCATTAACCCCCAAAATAACCTATCGAGAAGTTATAGCCCGATCATAGCAGATGATGTATTCGACGAAGCTTTGGATCAAGTCGAATCACACATTGCTCGAACTTCCTACCTTGCTTTTCTAAAAAGCGATCACTACCTCTCCAAACTGAGGGGCGAGGAGGAAAATAGCGAGAATTCCCAACATCATCATCAATATCAATTCCAATCGATTGGAGATTTTGCTACGGCCAATCAAAATCAGTTATCATCGATATGCAGTGATCACAAAATTACCGATACATCTTGCTGTGCCAATTATCAATTGCCCACTTTGCACGAGGATTCGGAACTCGATTTACCGCCCACTTTTTTCAAGTATTTAAAATAAATTAATAAATTTTCTATTAGCCATTTATTATAATTATTGATATATAATGGAAAATCTTACTTTCAGGCATTTTTACATATTTAATCCTGCACGAGAAAAATATCCAGATACCTGCAAAGGTCAAAATTATAGGCCTTGCCCAGCCTAATTTAAAAATTGTCATTTTCAAGCCCAGCCTGATCAGAGATTTTTTTGTAAATTTTTTGGCCTAGTCCAAAATCTTTAAAATTTTGTTTTCAATAATTTTGGCTGTATTCTCTATTTTGTAAATAGTTTCAAAGGGTAATTGAAAACATGAACAGTAAATAATATATGACGCTTCATTATTGAATTTTCCAACAGATTAATTGATATAATTCAAAATTTTTTTTTATAAATCATCCCAGCTTGGATTTATAATTTTTTAAAATTTATAAGCACGAGGATTTTTAATTCATACCATTTTCGGCCAGGTTCTGGATGCAGGTTTCTGATTTCTTAAATTTATCATCTTCAACCACATTTTTTTTAACATTATGTTTGTCCTCAAAGTTACTGGGCTTAAATCTCTTCAATCACAGATTATTTTCATATTTGCTACGAGTCATTTTGAATTTTTTTGTTACTTCTATAAAATTTAGCCAATATATTATTACAAATTTTTTAAATGTTGGAACATACAATAGTTAAAGAATGAAAATAGAAAATCAAGTATTTGGCAGGCGTTTTTTTATATTTAACTCTTTAAAGGTTTGTGGGGTATATCTGCACTAGCGATCTACAAATGACAAAATACTCAGGGGCCGTCTTTCAATTTTTCACTAAGGTTGCCCATCCCGATCCATTGGTCGGGAGTTACAGATCTCTAATATGCACCTCAAATTTTAAAGTCTTACTTCAGTTAGGTAATGGTTAAAAATTAGGGGTGTACCGATACCACTTTTTGAAGGCCGATCGATCCGATATTCCCGATATTATATTGATATCGGCCGATTACCGATCCGATATCATATCTAATTTTGTATTCTGTAAAGATACCAATGGTTTTAATTTTTAATATACTTTTTATTATTATAACATCTTTAATTTAACTATACCATAACTTATGTCATTTAAATATATTATAATGATCAGTTATAGTTTATGTTTATATTCAATTCAATTGCAATTCTAAAAGTATATAAAATATTTTTATTGTTAAATCTCTTTTATATAATAAGTAATAACATTAATCTATATACATAATAAGTAATAAACAATTATATTATGAAATTTAAAATAAATATTTATAATAATATTTAACATTAATATATCGAAGATTTCTTTTTAGAAATACCAATATTTCCAATTTATCAGAGGTTAGCTTGCGGCGATAGTAACTGTCAATATCACAAGCTTCACTAAAAACAGATTCTGAAGAGATTATTTATCAGAGGTCAGCTTGCGGCGATAGTAACTGTCAATATCACAAGCTTCACTAAAAACAGATTCTGAAGAGATTATCGCACACTTTTATAAACAGAATGCTCAAAAAAATAATATGGCAGAATGTTTATTAATTTATTATTACTAAAAAAATATACATAAATGGATTTCGATTTTATTTATAAATTTTATTTTTGTTAAAGACGCCAATTTATATCGGATCGGATCGGGAAATTTTATAATATTGGCTGATAACCGATATCTTAAAATGGGTGAAATATCGGCTCGATTCGATCTGATAAAAATATCGGTACATCCCTACTAAAAATAAGTTAATTTCACTTAATATAACATTTTTACCTAAAAAAACCAGGGATGTAAACCCTTCGACAAAAAAAAAGGGTCCGGGTACAGAAATAAAATTTGAAAAGACCCGTGTCAAGGGTCCGGGTTCAGGGAACATAAAAATAATGATTCAAAATAAGATTTTTTTTTATTTATTTATTTATTTATTTATTATACTTCAATATATACAATATACATATTCATAATTTACAAATGAAAAATTTTAAAATGAAAAATTTTAAAATGAAATAATTTATATTTTAAATATTTTATTCAATCACACAATCATAATATCTTCTAAAATATTATCCTTGAGATTTCCATGTAAATTAGATAATATAAGATGAAAATTCACGTATACCCTTACCTAAAATAGAGATAACTTTATAAAATTATTGTACTTGCGATGCCGGTACAGCCATGAAGATTCTAGATAAGATATATAATTCTGTATATATTGAGTTTTTTTCCCAGAATTTTAAAATATTTATATCCTTATTTATGCTCTTAACTTCTGAGAACTTTACTATTAAAGTTGCAATAGGCATTTTTTGATCCTCCTTTCTATCTGATGATAATTTGATTTTTTTTCCTTAAAAGTAAAATTTAAAGATTATCAATATTGCATCATTATTATTATCACTACTATTAGTAGGTATTGTCGTAACCTCCAATATACTGTAGTTTTGAGTATGCCATAAATCCTTAAGATGGTCTTTAGCCATTTGTTTTTGCTCAATATTCAATAAAACTTGATATCGAGGGTCTAAATATATAGAAGCATATACAACACTATTTTGCAAATATTGTTGCTTCGAATTTTCATGTTTTCTAATATTTCGTATAAAAAGAACTGTAAATTTTCCTAATTCTAATCGGTATCTGATCCATATGCCATAAAAATTAAATAAACATAATTGTTCTGATTTTAATCTTAATATTGTTATTTTTAAAGGAACTAATACACTAGTTAGGTCCTTTATTTGGCAACAATCATCTTCCGACAAAATGACCTCACATGCTCCTATAATAAAATCATTACAGAAATCTTTCAAACTTAATAATCGTTCTAGCATCATACAAATTGAGGAAGAACGTGTTGTGCATTATCATTTAAATTAAAATATTATTACACAATTAACTTTAAAAAGAATCTACATATTTCTATAACATAGCATGTTAAAAAATTTACATAATAAAATATTATTACCTACACTAATGATATCAATCTCTAAATAAAATGGAAGTCCAGGAAGTAAATTGAAAGAAAAACGCGAAGATAAAATAAATGGTTTCACAAAAAAAGTTAATAAAATTTATATTATTTTTTAAAAAATATTTTTATTTAAAATTTATATTATTTTTAAAAAATATTTTTATTTAAAATTTTTTTATGACACCTAGAACCCTTGGACCCTCCACTTTTAAAAAAGGTCCGGGTTCGGGTTCAGCCAAAATACAAGGGTTCAGCGTCCGGGTTCACATCCCTGAAACCTATGACTAAAATAGAGCAGTCACCAAACTATAGTTTACAAATTAATATATAGATATTTTTATCTAATTTTTCTCAGTATCTTCTATTCTTAGTTAAATTATACTTAATCAATAATTTTTTGAATTTTCTTCTGATCCAATCCAAAAGAGGTCGATTAAGCACCGACAAAATAACTAGATTGCATTTGCTGATAAACTCGATTCAAATAAGAGACTTTTTTGAAAATTTTTCGGATTGTGGAGCAATCTGAACTGGTTGGCTGACCTTTATTACTGTATATAATAAGAATAATAATTTTAAACACTTTTTATACAAAAAAAAACTTTATTTATATTAAATGTTAAGAATTTTTTAAAATATGGTATCTGAATTATGGAAATATTTTACAATAGGCAAAGATAATTTTGCAAAATGCGTTATCTGCGGAACTCTAATTTCATGGGGAGGAATAATGAAAAATTTATTTAATACTACCAATATCCGTAAACTTTTCTTAATTATTGTAGTAGAAATAAAAAAATTAAATTAAATGCATTTCAATTTTTTGCATAAAAAATATTGATTTCTTATAGTGAAGGTCAACGGTCCGGTCCTATCGGCCTTAGACCGGGACCGGACCGATCTTTTTTTGAGGACCGTGGTCCGGACCGGTCTTTTTATTTTTTACGGTCCGGACCGGTCTTTTATTATTATTTAAGTTTGCTTTACTATTCAATAAATATAATTTTTTTCTATATTTTATTTTATGATATTTTTCTAGAAGAGTTATTTTAGATTATGATAATTTTTATTTTACAATATGAAAACCATAAGTTTGTCCAAGAAACATTTTACTTAGAGTCCCAATAAAAAACATAGAGTATGTGTTCACTGCAGTACCAAATTTAATGTATCGTCAGCAACAAGTAACAAAATAATTGTTTATAATTTTTTAAGCAATAAATTAATCAAAATATGCAGTATTATTATTAAAATATTTTGGTTATTATTCACATAGTTCTATTTTTTCTTAAGAAACTGTCTGAATAATTCATTGTGAAAATAACTTAACCTTATTCTTAATAAAATAATTAGGTACCTTCTGATAAAACATAAAATATATACTTCAATGATGAAAATGAAAATATTGCAAAAACACAATCTACTCTTAATTTTAACATGCCCTCCACAAGCACAAAATCACTTTCTTCAATACCATTGGATAAATTTTATTGTTTATATAATACTCTTATATTTAATAAGATGATAAAACAAATCAAATTAGGTTAAAAAAAATATGTTTTTTATTTAGGACCACCGTCTGGATCGATCTTTTTCTTAAGGACCGTGGTCCGGTCTGGTCCGAGGATATCGGTTCAGTCCGGACCAAAGACCGGACCGTGACCTTCACTAATTTCTTAATTAAATTTGGTTCAAAGGGGGTGGTGAAAAACAATATAATATCGGATCGAATTTGAACCAATATCGGATCGAATCGGTGTTAAATATGTGGATCGGCACAGCCCTAATTTTAACTTTAAATTGATAATTATTTTAACATATAATATCAAAACTAACATAAATTATCATTAAAATGATATAACATCTTGTAAAATAGGATTCTTTATTACACCTAACCCACTTGCATTATTACATTATCTTTCAAGTAGTGTTGTTAAACGGCTCGTTTTGAGCCGATTCTTAAAAACGGCTAACTCAATATTTTAGCCAGAAAAATATTCCCTAAGCCTCGAGATTTCGCTAATAGATGTCCAAACCTTTATTCCTTCTACAAACAAAATCTTCAGGCTTGCGTAATACTATTCTGGATGAAATATTGAGTTAGCCGTTTTAAAATCGGCTCAAAACGAGCCGTTTAACAACACTACTTCAAGGTTAAAATCCAAAGACTAGATTTTTTTGACTCTGCCATTATTCATAAGGGAAATTGCGAGATTTACTAACAAAAAGATCAATCGTTCCTTCTCTTTTTAAATCCGAGTTTGATTGTATATTATTTTACAAGTTAATTTTTAGGTTATTTCTTATATCATACTTAAAAAAAGAATAAATTTTTGTCATATTTTAATTTTAGGCTCGAGTTGGGTCGGGTATATGGAATTCATTTTATGGTCAGGTTAGTAAAATGCTTTTCTTTTGAGTCGAAATAATTGTTCTCTCAATTTTTAAATATTTTTCAAGCCCATAGAAGGACCTGAATTATTTTAAAAATTATTGGCCCCGGCTTCAGGCTAACTAGAAGAGATTTATAGATATGGCAACTTTTTAAGGTTTCACTGCACCATAAATTAAAATATCTTTACCCACTTTCTATGTAAATTTTTTTAAAATAAGTAAAAATATATCACTACTCCTTGCCCTATATAAAAATTCTTAAAAATTTTTTTTTTATAGCCCTAGTTCTTATTTATAAATAATTTATTTTTGTTTTCCTCCACTTAGAAGTCATCCGCAAAATACTGAATCCTCTACCAAGCATCAGACAATATCGAACAGAGGTTATTCAATCGCAAATCCAAACGAAAATTTCATAAGTACGCGTTCCAAAACCCATTACAACCCGTCTTATTCCACGAACGTGGTTCCCTCGGCTTACATGCCTGATAGTGGTTCTGACTTTTTGAGTACAAGCGAAACATCTGGTTCAGAAATATCCTTTGCTCGGCTAAATAGAAACACCAATACTACTAATAATAAAAAAAATTGCGAAAGTTTAGAAAACGAATCAAGGAAAAATAACTCCTGTATTAATCACGACGATTATAGAAGGTAATTTTTTATTTAGAGCCATAAACGATCCTTCTGTTGCCCTAACTCATTGCATTATAAGAATATTGGGGTAGGGGAGTCATTTTGTTGAATATTATTTATGATTTAAGCGGTTTTTTACAAAAATAAAAAACGTTCATAAATAGGGTGCGAGTTGTTATTAAACCTTATTATTTTGTTCTTCAGTGTAAAACGAATCAAATTGCAAAGATTTTACTTTTGTTTTGATTAATAAATAATCTAAAAAGCGCGAAATTAAAAGTTAAATTCTGATAGAGACTTTACTAGCAAATAAATCTTGATTCTATTTTTTATTTAATATTGACGAATTATGGGACTGTTAAAATTTGAATCGATTAGTGTCACAAAATCGCCTAAAAGCGCATGTTGAAATAATATTCGTTAGGGTTTGAGTCGACTTAATTTTTTTGTATCCCTCAAATTTGAGCCATTTTTTCTAGTTTTGTACGTTCGTTCACAACTTTTATCAATAAATTTTCATTTATTTAATTTAATATAAATAAACGCCTTATATTTTTTTTAACTCTATATATTAGCTATGTTTATAAATACTTATATAATAAATAGTGAATAAAAAAATACTTTTATTATCATAAAATTTAATTTTTTTTATAAAATATATAAATTTTTTAAAAATAATAGTGATTTGGATTATAATTACTAATTTCACATTAAAAATAATTAAATTGTAAAAATATAAACTATTTTATATCTATGCATCAGAGACCTTATGGGCCTTAATTTTTTGACCAAGCCCTGCCCAGGCCCGCAGTAAAAATATTTTTTAGGCCCAAGCCCGGCCCACCCATATCTATCTAATGTTAAAAAAAATTTCCAAGCCCATGATAAGTTTCAAAAAAATTTCCCAAACCCGGTCCAAGCCCATATCCAAAAATTTAATTTTTTTTTATTTAATGAAAATAAACAATATTTAAATATTTTAGGCAATCATTTTGTTTACAATACTTAAATTTATTATTATTAGAAGAAAAAAAGGCAATAGCAACTGTTTTAAATAATCTAAATTTACTAATTTTAGGCCCAAGCCCAAAATTTTTTTTTTAATCCAGGCCCGCTAAAAAATATTTTTAAATCCAGGCCCGCTAAAAATATAATATTAGACCCATACCCGGCCTGCGGGCCGACCCATGAAGGTCTCTGCTATGCATATAATATATAAAATTTAATGATTTTTTTACATTATGAATCTATTATAATCATAATAATTTAATACCTATTAAATACACTAAATAAATTTTTTAATTGGCCATTTATAATTATATTATATAAAATAATAAATATTGCAATCAAGTGTCTCTTTAAATAAGAGCTTGAAGATTTTGAAACTGATATACTTTTTTGACACATTTTACATTTGTTAAGTCCTTGAATATAGGTTGTTATATTTGGTTGATAATGTTAATTATTTATCAAATTCTGAATTTTTAGAATCAGATGATGATGAAATAACAACATCCAAGCTTGCTAATCTATAAAGTATAAATAATAATATTCTAGTGACAGAAATAGTGGCAGGTTAAAAAAATTCAAATGTGATAAAGGAACATTTTTTGTTAAAGAATTCGGATTAATATTAAATCAATATTTTTTATTTTCAGATGAATAAAAATAAGAGTTATTTTTTTAAATTGAACTAACATAAAAAAACGAACGCGTTCGTATAAAAAGGAACGCCGTTAATCATTTTTTTCAAAAAAAAAACAAACTTCGTTGTAACATTATTTTTTCTTATAAAGTTTTGATAACCAGCTATTTTGTAACACTAATTGTGACCCTGGATAGGCTTTTTTTATTTATCATCCTCAGCAACTCTGTGTGAAATATAGGTATAGATAAATTACACTTACAAATATATATATACTATTATTGCGATTTAACCAAATTTAGTATATTATTTTTTAAAAATAACTTAGCAATTCAAACAAATCAGGAATTCCCAAACCTTCTTCCAACCTTAAAAACAAATGTTGTGACTTCAAAAATGAGTCAATTGAACATCACACGAATTGTAACAATTTACAAACGAGTAATTCTAAACATACGCATTCTCATAAAGCTAGCACTGGGTCAGCCAATTTCTCCGACAGGGCTATCAAAGAAATGGCTCTCAAAAACTCCTTAGACCCTGATCCCTTGACTTTTATACCAGTAATTAATACTCTTAATGATTTTTTTCCATTATCATTAATGATCAAAATTTTGATTGAAATGCAAAGTGAAGGTTACGATCGCCAAAAGATAACAAAAAATGATGAAAACGAATAAAAGTCTAATATAAACCTTTTTTTTTAGTAATTTGAGAATCTGATTTTGTCTGGATTTATTTTTGGAAATATCTATTTATTTTCATTTTTCGAATTTTGCAAAAACTTAATTATGTAAGAAAATGACCCAACCTGCCAACACCATGCCTCCATCAGACCCCAAAGTTTTTGCTGCCCTGCTCACTTCCAAGCTGAATTTTCTCATCAAAGACAGCGAGAAGACTTGCAAACTAGAACGTTCCCTCAAACGGCTACAACTCTGTCCTAGCACGGAGGTTCACACTATAGGAACAGTCCCAGCTGAGTTTTGCAGAATCGCTGAGGATCCTAATAACAAGACAGACGAAACAAGCCAATCTATATTGGATGACCACGTATCAAGGGTATGGAAGGACGATAATTCACCACCCCTCTCTCATAAGGCCATTAACAACAAGTTTTTAATTTTACCCATTTAAAAAAAATTATTATATTGGCAATACACCATATTTTTAAAAAATTTCAAATTAATTAATTATATAGTTGAGTATTTCAAATATAACTTTTTCATTAGGGTATCACAAAAAAATTAGTATTTTTGAAAATTATCAATTATATAGTTATGGGAATTTAAAATTTAACCTTTTCATTAGAGTATCACATATATTTACTCATTTTTATTGTTTTGGTATCACAGAATTAAAAATTGGCTTTCTCACACTCATCAATATACCTCAAATGACACGGATATCCCAATAAATAATCAATATTTGTCTCCTTTAATAAACGCAAATGCATCGACTAATGCCACGAACAATGCCCTCAATATTGCCAATGTTAAATCGTGTGCACAAAATGCCTCCCAACAAGTTAATATAATGTAAGTGTTTATTATAAAAATATTTACAATAAGATTTTATACTAGACAAACTGTTTTATCAATCATGGGGTAGATATTTCATATAATACTCATTTTAACGTTTTCTTTTCTGATTATACAAACCAAAGGTCGACACCTCAACAAAATCGTCCCGTGGTTTATAACCTTCAGAAATCCATCCTCTTAAATACTAGCTATAATAATGCCCCTTTGCAAAATTCTCTCAACTCTAGCTTAAATTCCGGCAATTTAAATAAGTCCAATAATTTAATATCGAGGTTAAATAATAACAATTTCCTCAAGAGAAGTAGTAGCACTAGCAGTGGTATAAGTAGCTTAATGGGAGGCAACAATTCAGCATGTTCCTTTAATTATCCTTTACCAGGAAAGATTTCATCTCGAAATAATAACCAATCGGTTACAAATACCAACAACGATAAATCCCATATTTATTCTGAGGGAGATGGTAGCGATTTTGCCATGCCACTCAATGCTTATCACAATCGAAACTCGTATCTTCTTAAAATGAACAGTAGTGATATGTGCCATAATCCTAATACTATGACCGATTCAAACGGTTCGAATAATAACATTGCGAATAGCAAAAATTATATTTTAAGAAACGATCACAATCTGAGCGATTGTTACTACGAATCTAGCTCTGCATTTGCTTCAGAGATGGAAGAGGAGAATTCGGTTGTTGCCTACAATAATAACCAGAAAGTATATGAATATACATCATATATTCTACGATTTATAAGTAAAATTTAATCGTTTTGAGCTTAGTTTTTTAAATATTGTTTAAATGTTCACCAAGATGCTACATATTTTTACTGTAAAAAATTATATTAATATTTTCTTTTAAAAGATCTCAAATAGCAATCAAAACCTTATAAACAATTATGATAATCTAAAAGAAACTAACAGCAAAAAAACAGTGATAGGCTATTACTTTTGTAACGAGCCAGTTCCTTATAGGACCAAAATATCTGGTGCGGATGTAACCTTAAAGCAATTCAAAGCTCTTCTCAGCAAAAAGGGGAATTATAGGTATATTTTTTTTATCACATTCTTTTTTATGTATTTATAACTTGCAGAATTTTGGTTTAAAAAAATGTAAGACTTATTTATAATTCGAGTGCAATCGTGTTATTTGGGCATTATATTTTAAGTTTCTGATGAAATCGATTTGGGCTCATGAGGAACAATCAGTTAATTATTTGAATTTCTATTGGCATAAGGTTTACAATTTTACATTACAAAATATAAAGAAAATTTGTTAAGGAACAAAAAAAGGCTTGCGCAAATTATGAATTATATTAGATTACATACCTCGTTAGATGGATTTTTATAATTTAATTCCATTTTGGTATATTTTAAATTCTTTACATATAATGGTTATAACATATTTTCCAGATACTATTTCAAGAAATCTAGTGACGAATTTCACACTGGTGTCATAAACGAAGAAATATCAGACGAAGAACAAATTTTACCATTATGGGAAGGCAAGATTTTTGCTAAAGTTGAATCACTCGAATGATTTTCTAACCATCATGATGAGGATTGCGATGAATCACTCGAATGATTTTCTAACCATCATGATGAGGATTGCGAAAATTAGAAGAGATAATTTTCAAGCCTCGTGATAGAAAAATTAAGGAATTTTTAAAGAAATATTACCAAATAAATTACATTACCTTAACCTTATAAAATATTTGAAAAAACTCAGTTATTTTTTTTTGAATTTTAATAAATTATAATCTTTTTTATGTATCTTAATGAAAAAAAAATTACGACAGTCAAAATTTTTTTGTATTTTTTATATCATCAACATGACACTAGAATCCTAACAAACAGTTTTACAAATTACGATATAAAAGAATACTTTATAAATTTGTAATTATTGTAACTTATATTTTTTATAATGCAAATTTTTTCATAAATTACAACATTTTGTAAAATAGTGATATCGGTGTTTAAATTTTTGATTCTCAAACACCTGTATATTATTTTTTAAATTTTATAAAAAAATATATGGTAATTCTTATAACAGACACTTAATTGTGTTATAAAACTATTGTTTAATGTGAACAAACAATTATTGATAAAAAAATTCCACCGCATTACATAAACATACTATATATTATTTAAAATAAAATGAACCACACACTACACACACATTTTTTATATTATATTTATACACTATAATATGTATATTAATTTATTTGAGTTGCCAAATGAAACTCTTCATTACTTTATTTTATCAATCTTTTATATAAATAAATATGATGATAATATTCCGAATAATAAATTTTATTTAAGAAAAATATGATTTTGAATCAATCTAACAGATTTTGTAAACATTTTAAATTTAGTAATTCATAGGGTTGACCTTTTTATATATGTCGTATTGGGATATGGAATTATGTGGGATTCGGAATCCCCACTTTAGGGAAAAAATATTTAAAAAATATTCCGAATCCCCATGAAAAAAAAATAATATAATTACTTTTTATTCTCTTTTTTTGCGGCTGGCACCATATAATTAAAAGGCCAAAATAAGGGATTTAAAAAAAAGTAAATAGTATAAAATTAAGGCATATAATGAATGAAAAGGGATGAGGTTAAGACTATTTTGTTTTGAAAAATATTAATAAATATATTTATAAAAAATCCGAATTATTGCAACAATTTTCGTTAAACATGCAGGTACCCGAACCGTTATTTATAACGGTTCAGTTTAATTAGGTTCAGTATGTAAAAAATTATATTGGTTACGGTTCTTGAGTAGAAATTTATAAAGGTTCGGTTTGGTTCAACTAATTATAAAGGTTTAGTTCACGGTTAGAAATTTTTTTTTTATTGAAGCAACACCATCTTCTAATTTATTTATATTATAAGCATCTATGAATTATATATATAAAAAAATATATAAGATTCAAAATAACTCATTTTTAAATATATTATTTGAACTTATAAGTACAAGTATAAATTGATTCCTTTTTGTTCGTTGTGACTATAACACAAATTTTAGCATCGAAAAAGCCCTTTCTACAGAAACTTGTGTTGCGGGAACCGCCAGTACTCTAAGAGCACGTTTATATAATTCAGGATATTAAAATTATTTCCATTTCTAAAATATAAAAACTGAACAGGTTTAACCGTTTTTTATAAAGGGTTTTTTACTCCTTCAAAAAATAATTATATTCGGTTACGGTTATTGTTCAGATATTTATAACATAAATAAATTTTTATAAAAAAAATATTTAAGGGGATTCGGATTCTTTTTTTTTAAAAAACAATTAAATTATTATTTTTTGCCGTGTGGCTGGCACCATAAAACTTTATTTTTTAGAGATATTTAATATGTATTACATTTATGCTTATTAAATACTCGAAAAAATGGTTTTAATATAAATTAAATGTAAAAAAATAAATGTAAGGCTTTTGAAATTAGGATCTAGAATTAAGCCTACCTTAAGTGCTTGAGAATAAATTTTAAAGTTTAAGTAAAAAATCTCGCGACAAAACACCTAAACATAAAAAGAAAATATAACTAGGAGCGTGACACCGGATGTTTATAAAATGCTGGAATATATTTTATTTTCAAAATTATTTCTTTTTTTAAAAAGAGCTAAATTAAATTAGAAAATATGTATTTTAATTATAAAATTGCAAATTTATATTTATAAAAAAAAATTAAAATTTCCGTGTATAAGGAGAAATTCATGTTCACGCTCGACGCCCGGGAAAAATTTTGAGAAGGCCCGTCACGCCTAATAATTCAAAATTTATTTACACTCCCGCCGTGACCCACCGTTACACGATGAGTCACGTGTAATTTCACGGCCCGCTCCCACCTCTAATCATCATTATTTAATTGTTTAGATAAAATTATTTTTCATTGATATAATGGTTAAATTATTAACAAATGGATCTTTCATGGTAAGACTTGGCAGTATATGAGGTAGTAAGAATTTATCATCTCCTATATTATGTCATGTGCAATTATTAAATAAGCATTTGTATTATACTGGTTAATATTTTTAGGCAATTTAGAAATTGGTAAAATAATTTTATGACAAGAAATCAACCTAATTTGCTAACCATTGACCAAAATTTATTAAAATGTAATAAGACCCCCCATTTATTAATTCCCAATAAAGATATATCAATCATAGAGAATTTAAGCTATTTTTACAGATACTCCTAATAAAATAAATTAACTTTTTATTTCAACTGCTGGAGCTTCACGATACGTCACAAAGTATGGAAAAATTTCGTTATGCAATTGCAAAATGGGTCGCATGAACAAACGATGCGAATGTTTCAAGAACAAACTTAAATATTCAACGAAATGTCATATTGCATTGCCTAACTGTTGCAATAAATAATTTTTTTTTTATAAATATATATTCATGTAAAGATTTTATATAAATTTATAAAAATAAAAGTGTCTTCTTAACCTTATACCTTTTCATTCATTAGGGGAGACCTGGGTCTTGTCGAGCCCTAAAAAGCAAACCTTATTAAAATTAAAAGTACTTTATCATTTTTAATAGCAAATATCTCATTCTGTTCAGCTCTATTAGTTTTATAGTAGTTTTGAATTTCTAGGTTGATTTCTTGATAAAATTATTTTACCAATTTCAAAATATGCCTTAAAATATTAACCAAAATAATACAAATGCTTATTTAATAATTGCACATGGCATAATATAAGAGATGATAAATTCTTACTACCTCATATACTGCCAAGACTTCTTAATACCATGAAAGATCCATTTCTTAATAATTTAACCATTTTATCAATGAAATTTTTTTTATCTAAACAATTAAATAATGATGATTAGAAGTGGGCGCGGGCCATGAAATTACACGTGACCCATCGTGTAACGGTGGGTCACGGCGTGAGTGTGAATAAATTTTAAATTATTAGGCGAGAAGGGCCTTTCCAAAATTTTATCCCGGGCGTGATCGAGCGTGAACATGAATTTCCCACACGGAAATTTTAATTTTTTTTTATAAATATAAATTTGCAATTTTATAATTAAAATACATATTTTCTAATTTAATTTAGCTCAAAATTTTGAAAATAAAATATATTCCAGCATTTTATAAACAACATCCGGTGTCACGCTCCTAGTTCTATTTTCTTTTTATGTTTAGGTGTTTTGTCGCGAGATTTTTTACTTAAATTTTAAAATTTCTCAAGCACTTAAGGTAAGCTTAATTCTAGATCCTAATTTCAAAAGCCTTACATTTATTTTTTTACATTTAATTTATATTAAAACCATTTTTTCGAATGATTTAAAGCATAAAATAAAAGCGGTGGGTCTATTTATCGCTCGGCTGAAAATATCGTTCGGCTAACCACATAATAAATCATTTATTACTAAATATCGCTCGGCTAGTAAATGTCGCCTGACAAACCACATGATAAATTATTTATTACTAAATATCGCTCGGCTAACCACATAATAAATCATTTATTATTTAAATTACGCTCGGCTAATTACATAATAAATTTTTTATTACTAAATATCGCTCGGCTTATATTTAAGTATTAAATTTCCAAACATTTTCCAGTGGGTTTTCACTTTCCTAATATTAATTGAGAATTAATTAGTTTATAAATAAGATAAAGGTTTGGACAGGTGTAAAAAATTATCTATTAGATATTTTAGCTTCAATACTTTTATAAAATTAAAATTGCTCATAACATTTTTTATTTATTAAAGTAAAAGAAATAATATTCTATCCGCTAGATGGCGTCTTTAAATTTTTTATTATAAAATTTAAAAATAATATTTTTGAATGTGTTTAATAAATTTCGCCATATTCTATCATGATGACTAAAATATTTATGATTTTTTTTATAGCATTATCTATATTTTGGTAAAAAATTAGTAGTCTTTTTTAAATTTTGCAATTTTTATTAATCAGATAAATTAATAACGATGGTAATTCATTTTATTCATTCATATATAAATCATAATTATTTTTGCGTTCATAAAATATAATTTGTTCGGCAGAGAAGATTTAAATATACATTTAGGATAATAAAATTATATATATTGATGAAATAGATTATGAGCAGGGGAAAATTGGGGAAAAATAAGGAATTAAAATTTATAAAAAATATTTTGTCGAGTCCTTTCTGCTTTAATTATACGTCGCTGATGTGGTTTTTTTGAGCCTTTTGGTTTTAAAACAGATAAAGTTTTATCTAATGAATGTAATTTATCTTTGCTTTGACTATTAAGTAAATTATTTAATGTATCATGACAATCTATCGATTCGGGTATTAAATAATAGCGATATTCATTATTTAAAAAATATTTTTTCTTGTAACATTGTGATATCCTTAATTTTTTCGATTAATTCTTTTAAAGGACGTTGTTTCCAGTTTATATATGATTTTAAAACATGGTTCATAGATTCGCAGTTGTTATTTGTCCATAAACAATTTATTATTTTATTTTTTAGGGGAATGTAAACATGTTCATAAATTACTTTTTGAAATTTATTTTTTATATATGGCAAAAAAATATTTAAATTTTCATTATTACAATAATTGTATAAATCGTTTAATTTTTCATTATATATTTGGTCATTCCGAGAAAATAAAATCCCATTAAAAGAAAAAATATCCTGTATAATTTTTTAGACATAACAGCATTTACACCTTGTTTTTCCGACAAATATTTTCTTATATTGTCTTTTAAATGACGTGTGCATATTAAATGAGTATTAAATTTAAATATTTCCTGAATAGGTTTTACTATAGCCTTTTCTTGATCACTACCAAATATGATATTTTTAATATTTATTTTATTTTTTAAAAATACAGAATGCAAATGAGAGAAAAAAGTATGATAAGTGGTCATATCAGAATCTCCATGCAAATATATTGGTCCTAAAAATATAGGGGATTCATCTGTTTTATATCTCTTAACTGCTATATGTTTAAAAACTGCTATATGTTTAAATACTATAGCAGTTAGGTATAGATCACCCAAATTAAATGTTTTATCAACGCCCAATATACAGAAGTCAGATTGGTTTGACAAAAAATTAATAGTTTTAATAATAAAATGAGTATAACAAATTATCGAGGGTGTTTTCTCTTTGATGTGAATTATTGATTGGATAAATGGTGAAATATGTAGATCATTAGTAATTTGTAAAATATTATCCGCAAAATTTAGAGGTACTTTTGTATCTTTTTTAAGTTTATAATTTAAGTTATAAATTTTTTGGTTTAATTGGGTCTTTTTGAAATATATAATTATTATAAATATTGCGACATGTTTGATTGTCCTTT